AAAAAATATACGTGTGGTTAGACATGTTTTTACTTTTTTTAGATAGAGTGTATGCTTCATTTCTTATAAGAGTCGTCTTGTGTTTTGATTCCGTTATCACTGGAGGAGTTTGCAATTAGATATCACACGGAGAAAGATGACGAACGATAATACCAATTACAAAAAAATGATCGAAAACTTAAAAAAAATGAGAGGTGTGAATCGTTAATGTGACTTCCAAACCATCTTCATTTTTTTATTTATTTTTGTCTCTTTTTTAATTATTTTTTAAATATTATTTCGTCAGTGTCACTTTTTGGATGACAAGGGTGGTTGGAAAGAACTAAAGGAGAGGATCAAGACACCATGCGCCTTGACAAGATCATCTTAAATCGGGTTACTATTCAACTTCAATTCTTTCTCTGACAATTTTTAATGACGTTAGACATCAAATCTCAGTGATAATGGAATAAAAATTTAGAGATTATTTTGATAAAAGTGCAATACTTGTACTTCTATGAAAACGTGAACAACCACATGTGTCTTTTTTATACTTTTCCCAAAGTTATATGATTGAGATAATTACACACCTAATTAGCAAAAGGGAAAAGGGGCAAATAAGCCCTCGAACTAATAAAAAAAGTGCAAATAAGCCTTTTTGTAGGAGGTTCTGTCCGATCATCGTCATTTGGGGAGGTTCTCGGTGGAATTTTTTGATGAACTTTTTTGAGCATCTTTTTCATTAAGTCTAGTTTAGCCATACCGAATTTCAGCTAAAAATTCAACCGGGAAGGCACTCAAATGATTTTCGGAAAAATACTGCGTTGTTTAACTGTGCAGTTATCTTCAAAAATTCATTTGATTGTCTTCCCGGTTGAATTTTTAGCTGAAATTCAGTAGGACTAAACTAGACTTAATGAATAAGATGCTAAAAAATTTTCATCAAAAAATTCCACCGTGAACCTCCCCAAATGACGATGACCGGACGGAACCTCCTACAAAAGGGCTTATTTGCACTTTTTTGATTAGTTCGAGGGCTTATTTGTCCCTTTTCCCTTAGCAAAATTCCAAGTGCGAAAGTAGCATTCGATCCTTTTGTCTTCTGCTATGATCGTATCATAATGTTCAGGATTCTTGATTTTGATAGTCTAATCCAACAATAATTATATTCATCATATTCTATCCCTAGAAAAGCTATGAGCTAAGTTCTCATCTATTGCTATTTCCAACTTAGTCCATTTGGATTTATATTTTCCTTCAATAAACTACTCATAATCATCATCATCACCCCAGACTCCCACGTATGATATGGTGAGGGGTTGGATGTACACAATCTCACCCTACTACTAAAGCACATATGGATATAATGTTTTCGGATGATCCATAGGGAAAATCGCGTCGAAAATTGCATGGACTTACTGATGCCGCGTAATAACGAAGTGCGGACAAGTTAGTGAGTCATTTTGCTTTATTCAATAAACCACAGTTCAATATAAAATGCATTAATATACAAAGTGACATTACTCATTTAGAAGTTTCTCTGGTATTATTTGGAAATATTTATTTTTCTATTAATCACGGCACATAGTGAATAACCGTTTACTCAAAAATAAAGTCAATTATACCCTAGATAAAACATCTTAAATTAGACATGACTCAAAAGACAAAAACTAAACAACTCATACAAGCTAATTCATAATTGTCAGTCTTCAACTAATAATGTTTTCTTTTGGACTATTTTCAGTTTTAGATCATACCAGACTTAACAGACCAGACCATATCAAACTTAAGCAGACCAGACTTTGATGATTATAAAATACACAATAACTAGACATTACTAGACCAGACTTAAATGGATTAGATCAGACCCGATCAATAAATTTCAGTTTAAAGAAAACATTTTTAATTATACAAATTCCATATCTGGCCAGTATGAGTAGTTGTTTATTCTTGAACGGTTTTTACGTGGAAATTATATCCACCAAAGGTTTTTCAAGAGCTTTTTGACATGGTCGATCGAAATGTATCCAACATCCGTAGAAGTTAGCTGAGGATAGGGCGGATTCGTGAATCGGATTTGGTTGAAAAAATAATCATACGGGTGATTACTTCGATACAAAGAATATATATGCGAAAAAATTTACATGCAATTTTTTATCTTAAAAATTACATCGTAGTTCATTTTCTTAAACTTGGGGTGCAGTGGGTCGGGCCTAGGTTGGGTCCCCCTAAATTCCTGAAGGCCTCTCACCACCGGCCGGACAGTTAACTAAGAGGGTGTAAATTGGATTTTAATCACAATCTGACAGATAGAAAGTGAGTCTTTGACCCTGATACTTGCAAGAACTTTATGCATTTTTACATAATAACATCTCATCGAACTTGCTGGGATTCAAACGTATGTTGGTTCTCCCCTAAATTTGTCCATGGATTGAACATTAACAGAGTTGATTCATTATATGAAAAAATGATAAAACTACACCAAAAATATTAAAACACATTAAAGTACAGTGTGCTTCAACCCAATACCTAGACAGACCAGGCCATATCAGACTTATTCAAACTGGACTTTGATGATTATAAAATACACAATAACTAGACATTACTAGACCAGACTTAAATGGATCATATCAGACCCAATCAATAAATTTCAGTTTAAAGAAAACATTTTTAACTATACAAATTCCATATCTGGCTAGTATGAGTAGTTGTTTATTCTTGAACGGTTTTTACATGGAAATTATATCCACCAAAGGTTTTTCAAGAGTTTTTTGACATGGTCGATCTAAATGTATCTAGCATCCGTAGAAGTTAGCTGAGGATAGGGCGGATTCGTGAATCGGATTTGGTTGAAAAAATAATCATACGGATGTTTACTCCAATACAAAGAATATTTATGCGAAAAAATTTACACACAATTTTTTATCTTAAAAATTACATTGCAGTTCATTTTCTTAAATTTGGGGTGGGTCGGGCCTAGGTTGGGTCCCCCTAAATTCCTGAAGGCCTCTTACCACCGGCCGGACAGTTAACTAAGAGGGTGTAAATTGGATTTTAATCACAATCTGACTGATAGAAAGTGAGTCATTGACTCTGATACTTGCAGAAGCTGTATGCATTTTTACATAATAACATCTCATCAAACTTGCTGGTATTCGAACGTATGTTGGTTCTCCCCTAAATTTGTCCATGGATCGAACATTAACAGAGTTGATTCATTATATGAAAAAATGAAAAAACTACACCAAAAATATTAAAACACATTAAAGTACAGTGTGCTTCAACCCACTATACCCCTAAAGCAGATCCTCCCTTGCTCATTATTTTATCTAAGTAAATATCTTGTTTTTTTTCTCCTTTTCTTTCCCCCACTGTCACTAATAAGATCGTGATAGGTAACTACCAAGCATACATATTAGCGGAGCAAGGCTCAAGCTCAGAATGCAAATGTTCTTGCTAAGGTAATTTTGTTTTTAAATAATGCATTAATGATTAATGTGAGTTAAAAGTTAGGTATGATGTCATCTCATATTTGATTTCCTGCTCTCAAGTAGCACCAGGAAGTAACGAAGTTGAAGCAACAATTGAATGAATTGATTGAGGAGAGGAAAAGGTAAATTGTACGGAGTATATCTTTTAATTTAACTTAAAATTCAAGTAAAACCCCTCTGATTGATAGCATCTTCTTCAATTCTCATGCATTTTTTAACTGGCATCAATCTTTGAATTATTAGGGTAAGGCAAATCACATAACAGTTCGGGTTTCATCGATTTCGGTCCGATTTCAGTTTATTCAATTTGGGAGATATTGTACCAAATCAAAACTATTTGTGTCTTTCTTTGCTTTCAATTCGGATTCGGTTCGGTTTGGTTTTAAGTTTGAATCAACAAAGTGAAAATTATTAGGTTCAATTTAGTTCGATTTGATTGGAGTTCGTATACATCATTATCAATTTGAATGAAATAATAAGTATATGACTCCGAACCAAATTGGATTGTTAGCTCAAAGCTAGGACCCCTCACAAAATAGGAGTGCTATGTTTATTATCCTTAAATATGAGTAAGTTATAGTTATCATGAAAATTTGTTAACATATTTTTACATTATTAGACTGAGTTCTTGTCACATTTAGCTATTATAATAGTGACATTTTAATCCTCCACTTATTGTATCAAAATCATATTGGATTATTGGAAGGATTAAAAATGTCAATTTGATACTACTCAAGGGACTAAATATAGAAAACTTTAAAGTCGAGCACTGAGAGTGTCGTTAACATAATAGTCGAAAGACTGAAAATGACAAAAACTCTTATAAGAATTTACATGATATCATATTGCCATAGTTGATAAAAAATATCAAACATCCCATAATTATTTCTATTTAAGGAATAAAGACGTGACACTCCTATTTTAAAATTTTATATTAGTCGGTACTACTATTATGAGAAATCTATGGATCCCTATATGACTCCAGAGTCATATAGCATATGTGGTTTCACACAAATACTCATTTTTAGAGTGAAGTCCTCCACCTGCATGGGAAACACTGGAGGAATGACCAAGATTCGAAAATTGCAACGATCGTGTGGCGGTTACATCTATTACGTGTTGGGTTGAACTTCTGATGCGCACTCGTATAAGGTCTATCACCATTAGGCTTATTGAGTCATCGATTCACCATGATTTACATGCTCGCATATATTCTGTCGGGACGGAACTCGGAACGTGAGAGATCTTTGGAGTTGGGGATGCAACATTTTGGAAGAAGTAGAATGGAATCCTCCACTATAAATAAATTCACTATAAACATAAATAGCTACTGCAATACCACATAGACTATTTTATGGTTTGGTGGAGTCATATAGAGTTCAATTTTTTTTTTACTGTTATTCACTCCCTCAGCAATTCCTTTTGTTTTTATAGAAAAAAGGACAAAAAAAGAAGAGTGAACATGTGATTCTCCAATCTCCACCATAAGTCCAGCTCTCCAACGGTCAAAAGAAAACGAGTACTAAACGTCTCTGATTATGATGAAACCAACGGCACTCTCTCTCTCTACTTTACTTTTCTCCTTCACCCCCACGCAAAACTCACGTTCACTTTCAACAGATTATTACCAAGATTTCCAAAACCCACCCATATAATTCTTCAGCTGAACAGCTGAATCTAACTTCTTGGCCTTCCATAGAATGGAAATAGCTGTAATCGACTGGAAAAACTTAGATTCAAGATTTGTGAAGGACGACAGCCTCGAGCACTTCAAAGCTCCGCAATGGGTGGATCTCTCCGCCCCAGACGACTCCGTCGACGACGAAGCTTGGTTCTGCCGACCCGGTAACCCACCCGTTTTCCCGACTCGTTTTTCCATATATGTATAAGAAGAGCAGCTTCTCTTACTCCGTTTCTATTGTTCAGATTGCAACCATCCCAAGACTGTTGATGACTTCTACAGAGCTGGAGCAACCCCACCTTCAAAGGTTTTACAAAACCCCTTTCTCTTTTCTTAATAATTGATTAAAAATGTGATCTTTAATTTTTAATCAAAATTCCAAACATGTCAGCTGCTTGGTTGTAAAGACTTGGTAATATAATGTGTATGTATAGTTGTATACATGGTACATTTGGTCCAGTTCTTGATTTGGTAAAATTTTATTTTTCCTGTAATTTCCATGCCTAATTTCCTTCCTTCTCCCAAACTTTTTTAACAATGAAGCTTCAGAGATCAGCCACTGTTTCTGAGAATCACCTTATGAGAGAGCGAATTCGAAGGTAATGAAATTATGATTGTATCAGTATTTGCAGTAAAAAATGGAAACCTTAACCTCCAGAGGAAAAGTAAGAGTCTAATACATAATATTGAAAAAATAGGGGGAAAGCTCTTCAGACAACTGGGGTGATTTCTGAAGACAGTGAGAATAAAAATCCCAACTTGAGGACCCCACCAAGATTCAAAGCCAAGCTTACTATGAAAGATGCAATCAAGTCAAGTGAGGAGAAGAAGAAGAAGACCCCTGCTGTTCAAAAGGAACCGACACCGAGGTTGAGAAGCACTCAGTCTGCAAGGAATCTGTTTTCTGGTGTGGATTTGCTCAACAAGGTCTCTGAGTTCTGTAATGAGTTGAAGAAATTGACAATAAGGGGTACTTCGGAGAAAGAGAGGGTTGGGAACAATAATGTGGAAAGGACTCCATTGATGGAGAAAGAGAAGGGGGAGGTACCATTCCAGGAGAAACCAACAAGTATAAAGAAAGATGACACTCCAACGGCTAAAAACATTCTCAAAGAAAAGCAAAGAAAGAAGCTTCAGTAAGTTCCCTTCATTACTTTATGTCATTTTACCTTAGTCTAATATCATCATCATTACCCCAATGCCAAGGCTCCCACCTATGGTGGGATATGGGGGGTCGGATGTATGCAGTACTAAAGCAGAGAGTGACTGTTTCCGGATGACCCATAGTATCTTAGTCTAATATGCATGATTATAATTCTTTGGTAATTTTTGGTCATTCACTCATTCCAATGAAGTTATAGGAAGAATAACTTGATATGTGAGGTCGGGATTGTCGCATGTGATATAACTTAACAGCCTTGAAGATGGTGTGTATAGACCAATTTTAACTTTCATGTGCTCTTTGTTGAGGTTTACTAGAACTCGTTATACCTTAGTTGAGCCCCTTACCATATCAAGACTTGAAATCCTATGGAGGAATAGATAACCCAATGTAGTTAGTTTTATATATGTCTAGTCCGAGATAGTGGCTCGTCCAAGCAGACAAGTCTTGAATTCCTTATCCTCATGGTTCAAATTTAATCTAATTGCTTGTTGAAAGCTAATTGAGTTTGATGCCATATGAAAGAGGCAACCAACCAAGCCACTGAAGTTCAAATTTACTACCTCACCCGAGTGTAGCAGACAAGCAAAATAAATGCTTCTTCCTTTCCGCCTTCATTTTGATACCATTATTTATAGTACTACTACATGCACAGATATACTATGCCTTATGAAGCTACCAAAACAATTATGTAAACTATGTATATGTATATGCAAATCAGGAGAAGTGAAAATGCAGAAAACACCCCAATCACCATTGATGTGAAGAACAGCACGCGGGGTGGAGACGATGATATCTTGTCACAAATCCGGACTTACCCTCCAACTCCTCAATGTTTCTCGGAGAGCCGTGGCGGGCCCACCAAAGCTACCCCACCCAGGAGTGCTAGCTCTAGGCCTACTCAGGAGAGAGGAGTTCTCCAAGAGTTGGGGAAACAAAGCAGCAGCATGATGGATTACAGAAAGGAGAAATCTGTAAATAAAATTAACCCAAGGGGAGAAGGAGCAGCAGCATCTTCTACAGTCACTGAAAATGAAGCAAGAGGATTAGATGTCTTCTGGTTCTTAAAGCCTTGCACGCTTTCCACCTAAACCCAATAATACCATACCAAAATATCAATTAGTTGGCATTAATTCTATTTGTAATATTTAATTCATTCTTTTATTCTTTTGTTTACTCTACACAAATTAAATCTTGATGAACGATGGCACAGTTAGAATTATATGTACTGTTTATATTCAGTTAAGATATACTCCTTGTTTAATTATACTTAAAAATTCTAATATGTAATGTAATTAACTAATTATTATCGTTTCCGTAAATTAGTGTTTCAGAGGGAGGTTTTCCGAATACTTCTACTCCGGGGGAAGGGTCAAATAAGGCCTTCTAGGCTTCTACTATTATAGAATCGTCACACATGATCATGTACTCAACAAAGTGTCAAATAAATATGTCTACTTATAAAAAGAAATCAGATGAGTCCTAACGACCCGTTGACAACCTCTTAATTCCAATTTTAGCTTACGTGTCATTATTTTTGCCTTGTATTTAAGCCAATATTGGCTAAATATTTCATGTCTGACTTATAATCAGACAGACGTACGCTAATCCGGCAATACGAGCTTGTCAAATAGTTGTTCGAACTCATCCGATTGCTTTTTATTAGTAGACATATTTATATGACATTTTATTGGGTACATGACCTTATTTGACCTTTTTCTCCCGCCGAAGTGATCGAAAAATAATTAATACTCCGTATGTGTTAGAGCTCGCACAGATTGAGATCACAATCTACAACAAACAACTCACAAACAATAAAGAAATTCAACTCAATCAACAACTCACTTTATTAGAGAAGGAATACAGTTAATCCGAGCTCCCAGGATAAGAGAAACAGACTTCTCAAATCTCCCAGTCCAAAACTCAAGGTCTAACAGCCTGCCTTTCTTGTCTTGACTTATTCTATTTATATCTAACCCTCCAGAACAACCCCCAGTCGTTATTATTTACAACAAACTATACTAATAACTAGCTAGTCAACTTCTTCCTTCTAAAATAGACTTGGCCCGCAAATCTATTCTTATTAGTAAAACCAGTTTGGCCCCTATCAATACTCCCCTGCTGAAGATCCAGCTTGTCCTCAAGCTGGAATCCAGGAAACTGTGCTTGTAACCCTTTTATCTCTTCCCAAGACCTCTCAAACTCAGGTAGATCTTTCCATTGAATCAAAACTTCTGTCTCACCATCCTTATTCTTTCGGACGTCCACCACCTTTTCAGGAACACCTGTAGCTCCCAATTTTCAGTCAATCCTCTAGGTAAAGGGTGACTAGCAGTGTTATGAGCTAGAGCCTTCTTCAGTAGAGATATAGGGAAAACTGGGTGTATTAAGAAATGCTCTGGTAACTTCAGTTTAAATGCTACATCATTCAGCTTTTCAATGACCTCAAAGGGTCCATAAAACCTGGGACTCAACTTTTGGTTTCTTCTCCTAACCAGACTCTGCATTTTGTAAGGCTTAATTTTTAGAAACATTTGTTCTCCAACCTCCAACTTCATGTCTCTTCTGTGTTTATTAGCTTGCTGTTTCATCTTGTTCTGAGCAATAGTTGCTAAGTTCTCCTTAATTTCAGATAGCATTCCATTCCTCTCTTCTGTTAATCTGGCTACTTCCTCCACAACAGTATTTGTTACATCTCCTTTAACAACTGCTGGAGGTTCTTGTCTATATAAAGCCTGATAAGGAGTCTGTTTTAGTGAAACATGATAATTGGTGTTATACCAATATTCTGCCCATGGTAACCATTTTGTCCATTCCCTAGTTTTTTTTCCAGTAAGGCATCTCAAATAGGTTTCTAAGCATATGTTAACAACCTCTGTTTGCCCATCCGATTGAGGATGATAAGTTGTGCTATATTTCAGTTTGGTACCTGCCATTCTGAATAGTTCAGATAAAAAAGAACTTAAGAAGATACTGTCTCTATCAATCACTATGGATTTTGGGAATCCATGGAGCCTTACCACCTCTTTGATAAACATCTCAACAACTCCTTTTGTAGTGTATGGATGTGCCATAGCTATAAAGTGTGCAAACTTTGTTAGCCTGTCCACCACTACCAATACATTATCTTTTCCTTTTGATCTAGGCAACCCTCCAATGAAATCCATGCTTATATCAGTCCAAATCTGTTTTGGAATAGGCAAAGGATGCAACAACCCAGCTGGCTTTAAAGCCTGATACTTGTTCCTTTGACACACCTCACAGTTCTGAACATATTTCTGAATATCCTTCCTCATACCCACCTAATAAAACATGGTTGATATCCTTTTCATAGTTATGAAATTCCCTGAGTGTCCCCCAGTAGCTGAATCATGATACTCTTGAAGTATGTTGTTTATTCTAGGGGAACCTTAGGGTATCGTCAACCTGCCTTTGTAGTACAACAGCCCTTTCTTCATTTGAAATCCAGTCATCTCGTCTGGGTAACTGAGTATTTTCTGCATTGTATCATAGCACTTAGGATATGCCATCAATTCATCCTTCAATCCCTCTCATTCCTGACAATTGGCTATGGACAAAGCTGATAATGTGGTCTTTCTTGAAAGAGCATCTGTAGCCTTATTCTCACACCCAGGTTGTATTTGATGCAGAAGTTGTACCCCATTAATTTTGCAATCCATCTTTGTTGATCTTCTCCCATTATTGTTTGTTCCGTCAAGTATTTCAAGTTTCTTTGGTCAGTATGCACCACAAATTTCCTTCCCAACAGATAATGTCTCCATTTCTAAATGGCAAACACTATGGCCATTAATTCCTTCTCATAAACTGACTTTGCCAAATGTTTAGGTGATAGTATCTTGCTCATATAAGCAATGGGGCCACCATCGTGCATAAGAACAGCCCCTAAACCTCTACCACTCACATCAGTTTCTATCACAAACTCCTTATTGAAATCAGGTACTGGAATAGTTGTAGTGGCAACCTTTAAATCTTCAAAATCTCTGTGGGCCTTCTCATCCCATATAAAGCCATCCTTCTTGTGGCTGCAATATGACTATATCCTTGAACAAATCTTCTATAATAGCCAGTTAGACCCAAAAATCCTCTCAGTTCTTTCAAGTCTCTGGGTACAGCTCGCTTAATCATAGCCTCAATCTTACTAGGATCTGCTGAAACACCACGGCCCAAATAACTCATTTTCTTTTGGCCAAAGGAACAACTTTTTCTATTTGCTACCAACTGATTGTTTTTCAGAGCCCCCAGTACCAGTATTAAATGTTCTTCATGCTCATCTCCATTTGCACTATAAACTAATATATCATCAAAAAATACAAGTGCAAACTTCCTTAAGAAGGACCTTAGTACCTTATTCATCAAAGATTGGAAAGTGGAAGGAGCATTAGTCAGCCCAAAAGGCATGAGTAGATACTCGTAGTGACCTTCATGTGTCCTGAAGGCAGTCTTATGGGTGTCACTTCCCTTCATCCGGATCTGATGATAACCTGATTTAAGATCCAGTTTTGAAAAAATTCTAGCATCACTCAGTTCATCAAGAAGCTCCTCTATGACTGGAATAGGGAATTTGTCAGGTATAGTGATTTTATTTAAAACCCTAAAGTCCCCACAACACCTCCAACCACCATCTTTTTTCTTGGCCAATAACAGGGGACTACTATAGGGACTGTGGCTAGGTTTGATAATTCCAGCATTCAACATTTCTCCAATAATTTTTTCTATCTCTCTTTTTTTTTTATCAAATGAGTATCTATATGGTCTAAGGTTTGGAATGCTAGCACCTTCTTTTATATTGATTTCATGGTCACATTCTCTTGCAGGTGGAAATCTCAGTGTAGCTGTGAAAACTCCAGGGGATTATGCTATCACTTTCTCCCATTGTTCTTCAGTTTCTCCCACCTGCTTTATGCTAGACAACTGTCCCTCATGATACAACAAATATTCATCACCATTCTGTTGTAATATATGAGTCAATGTGTTTAGTTCTACTTCCATATGATTTAAGGCTGTATTCCCTTTAATGATGCAATCCTTCTCTTGCTGCTTCCACTTTAAGGTTTGCTTCTTAAAGTTAACCTTCATGTCTCCCAACCCAGTTAACCACTCCATACCAAGTACTACATCAGTACCTCCCAACTCTATCAGGTAATAATTCTGCCTTATGTCAATTCCCTGAACCTTCATCTTTATCACAGTACATCTGCCAGCATTGGTAATGCATTTACCATTCCCAATTTGTACATTATATCCTTGTATAGGCTGAAAAAGAATGTTCCATTCTTCTACTAATTTCTGTGATAAGAAGTTGTGGGATGCTCTTGTGTCAATAAGGATATTCACCATCATCTCTCCTCCATGCCAGATCATTCTTCCCTTTACCTTAAAAGTTTTCATAGATGATATGCCCTCTTTACTCAAAATGAAAAGCTGCATGGCTTTATGTTCCATGTGAAGATCATTGTCCCCCTCTGACCTTCCAGATTCTTCCTCAGAATTTTCTTCCCCTTCAGACTGTTCTACCAAAATCATTTTATAATTCTTCATCATACACACATGTTCTCTTCCCCATTTATCCCCACATTTGAAACAAAGTCCCTTCTTGCTCCTCTCCAGTAATTCTTCTTGAGACAATCTAGGATCACTCCTTTTATTCTGCTCTTTAACATCCTTGTTAATGTGACTGTCCTTGGTTACATTCCCCTTGGTTACATTCAAAGGAGCATGGTAAGCCTTCCAATTCTTACCATCACCCCAATTCTGAATTGCTCTGTAATTTCTTCCTTCCTTCTCTGTTCCTTACAAACATAGCTTCCATATTCTTGTTTTCAATTAATGTAGCTATGTCCATTACTGCTGCCAACGATTTTGCAGAATATAATTTCAATTCAGCCCTGATGTCCCTCCTTAGTCCCTTTAGAAAAATACCTCTCAAAACTTCTTCAGTTAGGTGACCTTGAAAAGCTATGGCTGTCTCAAATTGATCTTGGTATTCCTGTACAGTCCCTTTTTGCTTCAGATTAAATAAAGGCCCTAGAGGATCTTGCACCATATCAGGTTGAAAACACTTAGCCAAAGCTTTCGTAAAGGTATTCCAGTTTAGTCGTTGAGCTTGTCCCTCCGACCACTGGAACCAGCTCAAAGCTTGGTCTTCCATGGCCACCACCGCAACATCAATTTTATCATCCTCATCTGTACGGTTCAGCCGAAAGTATCTGTTTATCCTCACGAGTCATCCGAACACGTCCTTACCATTAAAAATAGGTAGATCAACCTTCCTCCCCACCAGATGTTGTCTCCTGCGATTTCGATATTGTTCGCGATTGGTGTTCGATT